CGGAAGCCGTCTCTTGGGTGCAGACTGTGGTGGTGTGCAGAGAATTTAAAAACACAATTCTAATGAAAGCCGGTCTTCTTTTTATCATAACCATGGTTCTAAAATGGTGTCAGTGGTAAATTACTCCCCATCGTGGGCCAACTGCTGCCATGGCTCAGGGAAGGTTCTTTTCCCTTCGTTTGGTGTTTCGGGTGGGCTGGCGTGGGCCGGCCTTTGCTGAAAGGCCTCCCAGTTTGTGATCCACTTGGCGAAAGAAGACATGGTGTAAAGTGTTAGGGTTTGAAGCAGACTTGGATGGGAGCTCTTCCTTGGGCAGACAGAACTGTCCTTTCTCTGGGCAGAAAAAGAGGCAGTGGGTGGTGTGGAGCCTGAGGACAGAGGGAAGCAGGGCTGTGACCGGTGGCATGGAGGAGGCGTTGCTTCACCTCGGACAGAGGTGCGAGGGCGCTTAGGGTCAGAGGGGCCCCCAGCTGTACTGCACCTGGATGCTGTTTCCTTGCCCTGTAGGCCCCTGGTCCTACACACGTGTGTCTGTCCCAGTGCAGGCCACAGAGAGGTGCAAGCAAAGCCTCAGTCCTTCCTCACCTACTGAAGGGCGCCTGCCTAGTGCATCAGAGGCAGAGCTCGGGTTATTTCTTCTACTGCAGAGAGACAGTGTGGCCCTGCCAGAAGGGTTGAAAGAGTGTTAGGATATTTTGCTTTGTGGTTTTGTGACTTTGTGAATAAGTCACTTAGGCTCTTTTGGCTTCTCATCGGTGACAAAGGGACAATAGGAGAACCTACCTCATAGGATTATTTTGAGGTATAAATGAAATATAACATTTAATTTCTTAAACATAGCATCTGGCATATAGGAAACATTTAGTGAATATGAGCTATGATTATTTTGGAGTGGTGACATCTTGGCCAAGCCATTTTAACCTTTCTGAGCCTTAATTTCCTCACCTATAAATGAATAGGTGACTTGCAATGTAAAATATAAACTCTTTTAAGTGTCTGGCACATAGTAGGCCTACCTCTCCCATGGCAGCTCTTTTTAGGTGTTGACAGCTTTCATGATCAGAACATGTACCTTTTAGAGAATGAGGCTAATTCTATTTCCCTTGAAATATTTAAAGACAGCTCTCATTTTTGTCCCCTCTCTCCCCAAAGTCTTTGATTTTTTTCTGGACTTGGGGAATGAATGATTCTTCCCTCCCCTCTGGCTCCCTCTGGTTGTGTTTCAGTGTGTCTCTGTCTTTTTAAAGTTTGTCAGAAACTGCAACAGTATCCCAGCACAGAGTAAAAGGGACTTTTGCCCCCTTTGTTCTGAGCACCGTGCTTCTGCCTGAGACTGCGGCAGGCTTCTGGGCATCCACGTCACCCCGCTGACACATTCCGTGTGCAGTCAGCGGAAACTGAAATTGGGAGTCTCTGAAAGACACAATGTTGCAAGTTACTTGTTTTCCATCCCTTCATTGTGCCGGCAGCTTTTTGAACCTAAGGAAAATATCTATCTCGTTTTCTATTTTATATTTTTAGATTCCCTGTGTCAGGTTTCGATTTTGTCATGTACTCTGCTTGCTGCTGCTTGTTGTTTCCTGTCATCTAGGATTTGNTCTCATCCTACCAAAAACCATCTTAGGTTTCGATTTTGCCATGTACTCTGCTTGCTGCTGCTTGTTGTTTCCTGTCATCTAGGATTTGANGGTTTCGATTTTGTCATGTACTCTGCTTGCTGCTGCTTGTTGTTTCCTGTCATCTAGGATTTGAATAAATAGCCCTTTTTGTCAGGGATGACTGTGGGACCAAGGCTTGAGGTTTGGATCCATCCGCTGGAGACTTAACAACTCCTTTGGGCATTACCACTCAGGCCCTCAAAGATCCACCAGCCTGCGCTGAACAAGGACGACTTTGGGCATTTTGTTGCTGGGCTGGAGATGTCCCTTCGGAGGACATCCCTCGCCATGAGGTCGAGGGTTGGAGAGGGAAGGACCGGAGGAGAGCTCTGGGGCAGCGCTGTGTGCATCCGGACCTCCTGACTTGGGCCTTGAGCTTTCCCACCCCCTCGCCTGGATTTTTGATGTCAGCGGCGTGGCTGCCGTTTTTTGTATATTCACAGTACACGTCTGGTTGGTTCTGCCGTTCTGATGAGCTCTCTAGAACTTTTGTGAAATAAGTCCCAAGGCTTATGCTGGAATTTACTTAGGGGAAAGGGTCATAACTTCCTGGCTGTCAGATTTACTGGCAATCCTGAGAACTAACTGTATGGACCTTTGATTCTGCTTTGATCTTTGACACTCAGAGGCATGATCCCCAGAGGGCAGGACAGGCTCTGGTGACATGGCAATGTAGTTGGCTGTGGCAGGGTGTCGAGGGAAGGGGTTGTAAAATTATCGTCTTGTAAACAGCCAGCAGGCAGTACACTTTATAGCGTTAAGAGAATAGACTTGGCAGCCAGACTGCCTTGGTTCACATTTTGGCTCTGCTGCTTACCAGCAGATCATTCTACAACATCTCTGTGTCTCCGTTTCCTCAAAGTGGAGACACTGACAGAACCTCTCTTAGAGATATTATGGAAAATAAATGAGCTAATAACAATAAAGCATTAGGATAGTGTCTGGCACAAAAGAAGTACCAGGCTTGTACTTTAGTTCACTGCATATTCATGACCACCATGTGAGGGAGGGAATTTTTTTCCCTTTTTATGCACATGAAGGAGCTGGAGTTCAGAGAGGCTAAGTAACTTGCCTAAGGAAGCACAGCTGGCAAGAAGCAGGAAAAGGTCTACAACTTCAGTCTTTCATACTCTGCTATTATTACATCCTAAAGAGAGTAGCCCAGTATAGCCAGAAACTTCTCCAAGGTCACAGGATGCTAGGCATTCGTGCTCCAGGGAAGGAAAGGGCATCCGTGGGTTGGGATCAGAAAGGAGACAAGAGGGCTCCCGAAAGAGAAATGCCAGACATTCTCCACTTCCTGGCTTCATGGGTAGCAGGCATGGGTGGACTGCTCCCCAGGGCCCATCCAGAAAGAACATGCCGTGACTTACAGCCACCTCTCCTTCCCCGCCTGAACCCTTTCCTTCCTTGGAGCAGCCACGGAAGTTGAGGTTGCAGTCCCAAGCTTTGTATTTTGTCTTTGTGGCCCCCCTGTGTGTCATCTTGTTGGAAGATCTGATGACGTGTGTGTCAACATTATGTGATCTAACTGGAAATTCCTTTAAATCTTCGGGTGACTGCAATTCACGTTCTGTATGCACTTTGTCAGTTCTAATTTAGGATCTTAGGGTTTCATATTTTGAAACCTTTCTACCTAACGTGAGGAAGTTTTCCTAGATCCGTCACAGCCAGGCTGCAGCCCAGAGCCCAGGCTGTTGGTTTCCACCCGGGGTAGGGGGCTGTTCCCAGCAAGGCTGTGGTTGTGTGGATGCCACGCTGCAGTGCTGTGTTGAAATACTGCCCGAACTAAATCAAGTCAAAGGTCAGCTTTAGCGGGGCAAGAATAGAAAGCACAGTTGCACTCAATTACAGGACAGCATGTACCCCGCAATATCAGGCTGCCTCTAACAAGTTCGGATGGCTCTCATCAAGAACAGGATTTTAAAAAACCACAGTATTTCATGACTTTTGCTTTTCCAGTTTAAGGTTTATTTATCATTTTATAAACCATAAGATTACATTTGTAATCTTGGGTGACAAAGAGCAGGCTGGGAGTCCAATTTGTTTCTGCTTTGGAGCGTCCCGTTTCCGGCCCTCTTATCACTGTTGTAGTGAGGCGCAAAAGGGCGATCTTAGAGCGACACTTTGTCCCAGGGATGAAGTTGCACAGGTAAGGATGCCCTTTACATTTTAATGTCCTGTTACCTTCAAGACTTACGCTGGCACTATCAGGTTGATGTTATCATCTCCATTTTATTGATGAGGAAACTGAGGCTGAGAAGCGATACGTCGGGTTCCCAAGGCCATAGAATAAAGCTGGGAATTGAATCCAAGTCTGTTTCACCCCGAGGATCAGCGTTTTCCCACCACACCGTGTGGCCATGTTGCCTTATTTTTCAGAACCAGGACTTAGGGGCGGCACCATGAGCTTTTGATGCCAAAAACAGGATGAGGCGTTTTTTAAAGAGTTGAGAGGTTTAGCTAATTCCCAATATAGGAGAAAGAGCCAAAGCTCTGTAGCCTGAGCTGATCGGGTTCAAATGACCACTTGCTTACTCCGTAGCCTTGAGCAGGGTATTAACCTCTCTGGGCCTGTTTTCACATTTGAAA